AGTTCAGCGAGACCGCCATGGGCAACGCTAGGTGCCCGTTAGGGGTCGCCTGGCGGATTGCCACAAAGCGGCAAAACTCCGTCTCCAGGAAAGTCAAGAACACGCTCAAGAAACGAACCCAGACGCCCTCAAACCCACCTCGCAGCTCCCCAGGGGCTGGCGCGGCCAGCGGCCGCGGCACGACGCCCTCCGCGCTGCGCAACTCGGCCGAGGCTGTCGCGGCCGACGGCGGCGACGCGACGGCTGCCGCTGCCAACGGCCGAAGAGGAGGAGGACGCGCTTGCGCCCTCGCAAGGTGCGCCGCCGCCTGGGCCACGAAGGGCCTCGGGCTGCGGCTCCGCGCCGTGGTGGGCGCAGCAGGAGGCGCCGGCGCTGGAGAACATGGCGCCGGAGGGTCGTTGGAGGCTGCTGCGCGGTCGCGTTTCTGTTTGCGCGCCCGGGCGCCCATCTGTGGAGCAGAGGGCACGGAGGACGCGAGGCCCGAAAGAGGAAAGCTCCTGCGAGCGCAGAGTGGACTTGGGCCAACATGGGCAGCGGAGGAGCGACACGTCTGTAAGGAAAACAGACCCTTTGAAAAGGGAAGCTTCCGACTCCTGCATTCTCCCTTGTGCGTCTCGGAGGGTGCGTGCCGGAGCACGACCCACGGGAGCAGCGCGCCTCGTCTCCTTCCTCCGTGCGTCCCAGAGGGTACGTGCGTCCCAGAGATGGTTGATTACCCTCCGCGGTCGCCACCCTCAATTGCGACCGCGAAGGGTAAGCAACCATCTCTTCCCAGAACGTGTGAAACTAGTTTGAAACCACGGTGTGCGCCTCATGGATGAAACTCCTCCCTGGCTCTGAAACTCCTGGTCCGAACTTTGCGCGGGAGGCGCGCACTACAAAGCCACTTCAACCGCGTACGAAACGTCCCTTCTAAGAACACGTCCAAGTTCCCTCCTGCCCTGGCGGCGCTCACAGGGAATGGCGCGAGAGGGGCCTGGCTTGTAAGAAAGCGATGGCTTCTTTGAAGGCGGGGGCCCTCTGAGAAGGTTTCTCAGAGCCGCGGGGGCTTCGAAAAAAAAACCGCCGCCTCCGTAGAACCCAGTCCCTCTCACGCCACGCCGCCATCTGCCCAAAGTGGAACATCCGCCACCGTGCAGCGAGGCACGAATGGGAGTACCCTCGCCTGTAGTCCAAAGTCCCCTGTCCTCAGGAATGAATATTGAGGGGCATGGACTCCAAACTTTCAAATGCTCCTGGGATCCCCTTGTGCTTCCCGCGGTTACCCAGCGTTTCCTGCATGACTTTTCTCAGAGCCGCGAGCGTCCCAACACGGGCCAAGAAGGCCCCGAAACCCCGCCAAGTCCATAGACCGTGCAGTCCCTCTCACGCCACGCCGCCATCTGCCCAAAGTGGAACATCCGCCACCGTGCAGCGAGGCACGAATTGGAGCACCCTCGCCTGTAGTCCAAAGTCCCCTGTCCTCAGGAATGAATATTGAGGGGCATGGACTCCAAACTTTCAAATGCTCCTGGGATCCCCTTGTGCTTCCCGCGGTTACCCAGCGTTTCCTGCATGACTTTTCTCAGAGCCGCGAGCGTCCCAACACGGGCCAAGAAGGCCCCGAGACGCCTCCGACCTACCGCCCAGGTACGGTGGCGGGATGGGCCGAAGGCCAGCAGATGCCACGACACAACCGCAAACTCGTGCAGGCCGCGCGGATCCTCCGAGCCTGGCGCCAGACTTCCCTCCCCGCTCCACCAGCCCCGGCGCGTGGAGCGCGCCAGGGACGGCACTGCAGGCGGTCCAGCGCCGACCCGAAGCACCTCTGAGAGCTTGCAGCCCTCGCGCTGCCACAAATAGGGAGCCACATGCGAACCCTGCCCCTGCCCCCCACGGCTTCTGGAGGGAGGGTGGGGCTAACTTCGCTCCCCCTTCAGACATCGTGGGGGCTAGGGGGCAGGATTCGAAGGTGGCCCCCTGACAAGAGTGGCTCGAAAGCAGGCGCGCAGGGGGGTTCTTCTTTCCCGGCCGCGGTGCGCCTCGGCCACGAGCCGGCTCCCCCGACCCAGGCACGAGGAGCGGGCGGCAGGAACGCCCGGGCCAGTCCCGAGGCGAGAGGGAGGGCCCTGCTCGCCACGTCTTGCCTGGCCCGGCTGCGCTCCTGCCCTCGAGGCCTGTGCAGGATGCGTGGCGCTCCTGCCCGCATCCCTCCCGAACTTGCTCTCCCGTGCTCGTGGACTTGAAGTCGGGCCCGCCCCCCCCTACTGGGGGCTTCTGGGCTACAAAAAAAAACAATTCCAACACTACTCGTTTGCATCCCTCCCGCACCTGCTCTCCATGCTCCTGGATTTGAAATCGGGCCCGCCCCCCTACAGGGGGCTTCTGGGCTGCATAAACAACTCAAACATTACTCACCGAATGCCCCCAAACACTAAAACAGAACAACTCAAACATTACTCCCTATATGCCCCACAATAGTCAAAACATCGTCCCCAGACTATGTTTGGGTTACTTTTGAATATTCGGGGATGGACATACCCCCCTGTAGTAAAACGTGGTGTAGCGAAAACGATCTGAGGCCCAAACCTGGCGGGCGCAAGCCTGGAAAATGACGGCCACGGCGCCATCTCGAGAACCGAAGACGGAAAATCCACGAGTCGACGTGCCACTGTTGGGGATTCTGTCCACCCTCGAAGTATTCCTCCTGTAGATGGACAAGCCCGACTCTGCCCTGGACCGCCCCTCCTCGCGCGTCGGGCCCCCGCCGTGCGCGGCCACCTCCTCGTCCTCGCGCCGCCGCCCTGGGAAAAATTGACGCCACTCCGACGAAAGCCGCGGTGCGCGACGCGCGGCTCTCTTCGCGCCCGTGGAGGCGACCCGATCCGAGGATCCCCTGCCCGAAGAGGAGGAGGAGCAGGAGGAGGAGGAGGAGGAGGAGGAGGACGGGCGTCCAAATCTGGGGGTCCACATTGCGAAACTAATTCCAAGGAGGAGGAGGAGGAGGAGGACAGGAGGAGGAGGAGGACCGTGCGTCCAAGAGGGCACGTGCCAGAGCACGACCCCCAGGAGCAGCACGAATCCTCCCTCCTCTCCTTCCTCCGTGCGTCCCAGAGGGTACGTGCCGGAGCACGACCCACGGGAGCAGCGCGCATCCTCCCTCATCTCCATCCTCCGTGCGTCCCAGAGGGTACGTGCCGGAGCACGACCCAAGGGAGCAGCACGCATCCTTCCTCATCTCCTTCCTCCGTGCGTCCCTGAGGGTACGTGCCGGAGCACGACCCAAGGGAGCAGCACGCATCCTTCCTCATCTCCTTCCTCCGTGCGTCCCTGAGGGTACGTGCCGGAGCACGACCCAAGGGAGCAGCACGCATCCTACCTCATCTCCTTCCTCCGTGCGTCCCAGAGGGTACGTGCCGGAGCACGACCCACGGGAGCAGCACGCATCCTCCCTCATCTCCTTCCTCCGTGCGTCCCTGAGGGTACGTGCCGGAGCACGACCCACGGGAGCAGCACGCATCCTCCCTCATCTCCTTCCTCCGTGCGTCCCAGAGGGTACGTGCCGGAGCACGACCCAAGGGAGCAGCACGAATCATCTCCTTCCTCCGTGCGTCCCAGAGGGTCGCAAGTTACTCACAGGCGAAGCTCCCTCACCCTCCGCCTCCCGCGGGCGCGAATCGTGACGTGACCAGCCCCCTCCCCCCCTGGTCACGCCTGTGCCAGAGAACCAAAAAAGTGGTTCCAATAACCCCCCAAGCTTCCCCAATAGGCCCCCAAGAGGTCCTCCGGAAGCTTCCCAAAAAACTCCCCAGGCGTCCAAAACGCCCGTACTCTCCGCAGTCCGGACGTGCACCCCGCGAAGCGAGAGGAATCCACGTCCGGAGGTGACGTGCTGAGCGGTAGCGTTTTTCGGCGAACGCCTTAATGCAACGTATCCCATGTGTCCAATGATTGCACAATCGATACATATTGTGTTTTGTTACAGTATTATGTCTCCCCCCCTAACCCCCCCCTGGAGTCGCGCCACAGCGCCGTACCAAAAGTTGGCCCCCCTCATTCTGGACCCCAAACCTACAAAAACCTACGTAAAATCAACAATTTCGGCCTTTTCGGCCTCTATTGCACAATTGATACATATTGTGTTTTGTTACATTATTATGTCTCCCCCCCTAACCCCCCCCTGGAGTCGCGCCACAGCGCCGTACCAAAAGTTGGCCCCCCTCATTCTGGACCCCAAACCTACAAAAACCGATGTAAAATCAACAATTTCGGCCTCTTCGGCCTCTTGGGACTCCAAGAAGGCGTCAAGGGGGTTCCAGGATGGCCCCATGACGGCCCAAGACGGCCCAATACGGCCCCAAGACGGCCCCAGATGGTCCCAAGAGGGCCCGTCAGGCCCCCAAGACGGCCCAAGAGGGCCCCAAAATGATCCCAAAGGGCGCCTCCATGAGCCAAAATCATAAATTTCCCAATGGCTTTTTAATAATTTTCGCGTTCTCGCCCTAGCCGGCTCTCAGAGGACCATGACGGCCCAACCAGCCTCCAAGGAGACCCCCAGACGGCCCAAGAGGCCCCCATGGAGGTTCCAAGATGGCCCACGGGGGCCCGACACGGCCAAAAGAGGCCCCCATGACGGGCCAAGGGGTCTCCAAGACGGGCGAAGGAGACTCCCAAAGAGCCCCAAGGCGGCCGCGAGAGGCCTCCAAGATGGCCTCCGATGGGGCTGGGCGGCGCAAGAGCGCCCCAAGACGGCGCAAGACGCAAGAAGAAGCCCCGAGAGGCCCCAAGGCGGCCCCAAAGATGCCCCAAGAGGATCCCTGGAGGCTTCCACGAAGCTCCCATGAGCCCTTCCAGGACACCGCCTCAAGCCCCGGGGATGGCAGGCCGGAGCGGCACACGCGCGCGGAGGCCGAGCATGTCACGCCATGTAACGCCAACATTTTCCACAGTTCTCCACGGCGGCGATGACCAGTTCGGATCGGATGCGCGGCGCCTACTCTGCCCGCCTGCAAGCGCGGCGCCTACTCTGCCCGCCTGCAAGCGGGGCAGAGCATGTCTGCTTTGTCGCGCTGGGAACTCTTCACGGCTGCTCGCATAAACACTGCCGAGCACTGGGCGCATTTCAGCCCCCCGCGCGGATCCCGGCACTGAGCGCAGGTCCACTCTTTCATGTTCCACACTCTGTACTTGGCCGTCTTCGGCCGCGGAGTCGTGCCACATCTCGCGCACGGCGGGAATTTGCAAGACTCGCACCAAAAACCGGCGCTGTACGTCAAGCGGTCTGGAGGCCTTGCTCCGCAGCCTCCCTGACAGAGGGGCTTCCCTTTTTCGTCGAGACATTCTGTGCACGCGGCGTCTTTGACGCTCTTGTGCATCTTAAAAAAGGCTGCATCAAACTGATCCGCTGCCTTCTCCTGCGAGCAGATGCGGCACTTAAAAAGGCGGCCCTCCGACATAATGTTGAAATGCTGCCTCTCAGGGGTGCAAGCGACGCAAACGGCAAGGTCCAGCGCCCCTCTTCCCGTCAAGTCATTGACCTCGCTGCGTCTGAAGTTCTTTAACGATTTAGTCTCCTTGCAGCGATTGCAGACGAGCACGTCTCTGCCTTTCGCGGCGAATGGCTCTGCAGCCGCGGCGGGCGCGCCCGCAGCAGAGGTCCGCTTCTGCGCGCAGAGGGCGCACCTCCTCCACGCGCCCTGGCTCAGGACTGCCACGGCGTGCTCCACGGGGTCGCTCGCTCTCATGCCACGTCCTGGGAAGTTGCCCGCTCTCTTCCGCTGGTGGCAGTCGGCGCACTGGAAAGTGACGTCCACCAACTTCTTGGACGACCTGGACGCGGCTTCCTTCTCTGCCTTGGCCCAGCCGGCTTCCGCCTGCTCCGTCGTCATCTCCCCGGCTGTCAGGGAGTGCAAGAGCCATGGGCCCGTCTGATGCCCCTGGCGGAAAAGCATGGGCGAAAAAGGCTGCGTGATGATCAGATCGTCAGCCCTCCTGGTGCGGCGGATGGCCACGTAGCCCGTGGGGACCATGGCTGCGCGGGGCGTCGTGCGCGCGTCCAGGAGGTCGATAATGGCCTGCGGCAGCGTGGCGCCGGTGACGCAGTGGGCCGTGGCGGCGAAGTGCGGGACCAGCGGGAACCCCGCGCG